TCCTCAGCTCCAGCTCCTGCCTCTAGCTTCCAGCCAGTGTAGACCTTGGAAGGCAGGGGTGACGGCTCAGATAGTTTGGTTCCTGCTACTCACATGGGAGACCTGGATTGAGTTCCTGGCTCCTGGCTTCAGCCCAGCCCAGCCCCAGCTGTTGTGGGCATCTGAGGTGTGAATTAGCAGACAGGAGCTCTCTCTCTTTCCTTCTCTTTCCCTGCCTCTCAAGTAAATTTTAAAAAATTATTTAACAAGTCGGGGCCGGTGTTGTGGTGTAGTGGGTTAAGCTGCCCCTGCAGTGCCAGAATTCCAGACAAGCAATGGTTTGAGACCTGGCTGCTTCACTTCTGATCCAGCTCCCCGCTAATGCACCTGGGAAGGCAGTGGAAGATGGCCCACGTGCTTGGGTCCCTGCCACGCATGTGAGAGACCCAGATGCAGTTCCAGGCTCCCAGCTTTGGCCTGGCCCAGCCCTGGCTGTTGTGGCCATTTGAGGAGTAAACCAGAGGATGGAAGATTCTCTCTGTAACTCTGCCTTTCACATAAATAAATAATTTTTAAAAAGTTCATAGAAATGGAATTAAAAGATAAATTTATTTTTGGTGGAAAAAAATTGAAATATATGCATATAAGGGATCTTCAGAAAGTTCATGGAAGATGAATATCATTAAAAAAACAACTATGCATGGATTTCAAATTTTTTTGCGCCAAAATCATCTGCTCTTTTCAAATAAGCTAATATTTTTAAAATAAATTTTTATTTATTTGTTTTCATTTTATCTGAAAGGCAGAGACACACACAGAGAGAAACAGATATACAGGCAGAGTGAAATCTTCCATCCACTGGGTCAGGCCAAAGCCAGGAACCCAGAATGCAATCCAGGCCTCCCACAAGGGTGGCGGGAACCCAAGAACTCAAGCCACATTCTGCTGCCTCCCAGAGAGTGCAATAGCAGGAAGTTGGATAGGAAGCGGTAGCTTGGACTCGAACCAAGCACTTCGTTATGGGATCTGCACCTCCCAAGCCAAGACTTTGCCACTGTGCCAAAGTCCTGCTCCCTAAATTTAGGTTTAAATTCCATTTTCCACAGATGTTTTGAAGTGCCTTCTTGTGCATACATATGTGATATGGGCACACACATGTAGATGGGCCCACATACACAACATGTGTAACTCATGTCTTGGCACAGTTCTATAATACATCACGTTTTACTCTCACATACTCTCCCTTTGTTTCCTGCGTTAGGGTTAGGACAGTGTACAGATTTGAGTAATGGTGTGGGAAGGTGTGTAGGGAGCCCAGAGGGGGTGTGGGTGTCTCACAGAGGGTCCTTGGGGGCTGGGGATGAGGTGGGGAGTGGAGGAAGGGCAGGAAGGCTGGGGGAGGCAGCGAGGGCGTGGCCCACGGGGGACGTCGTAGCCATACCCAGCGGCAGTGCCTGCCTCTCCGCAATCAGCAGCGTTGATAATTCTGTCATCGCACGTTTAAATTGCTTCCCCCACTGGCATTTCCTAAACTGTTCGTTGGACTAAAAGGAGGAATTTTAGACAATAGCCAGCCTAGCATTTCACTGATTTTTAATGTGTTTATTGTTAATTTATCAACACAAACCTTAAGGGCCTTCAGTAATGGGGTATTTTAAGGATGAACGAACGAGACAGAGAGAGAAGAGACAGGAAAGATGATTTCTTTTCCAGGTGTTGTCTGCTTGATTTGCATAAATGACAATAGGGAATATCTTGATTTGCTGGTGGGATTGATGCCTAGAAATCAGCCACCATGTATGATAATGACCCCTGTTCACGCATGACAGGCCCTGTCCTTAGCATGTTACATGACAACAACCCCTGCTCACACAGGACAGGCCTGTCCGCAGGACATTACATAGTAATAGCTCCTGTTCATGTATGACAGGCCCTGTCCTTAGCATGTTACATGACAACAACCCCTGCTCACGTAGGACAGGCCTGTCCTCAGGACATTACATAGTAATAGCTCCTGTTCATGTATGACAGGCCCTGTCCTTAGCATGTTACATGACAACACCCCTGCTCACGCAGGACAGGCCTGTCCTTGGCATGTTATAAACGTGGTCTCAGTCAAGCCTCCACAGACCCTCCAGAAGCTGCTCTGCCCATCTGAGGAAAGAATCAGGCCCAGAGAGGGGCTGGAGCTGACCTCAGGCCACACAGCTGGGCAGTGGTGAGGTAGGCTGCCCAGCCTGGGTCCTGTCACCACAGGTGGTAACTTTGTCAACAAGGTAAATCATAGAGATCCAACCCTGAAATAAACCACTGAACTTAGTCCTGGCTTTTTCTTCCAAACACAAATTTTCCTAGGTAAACAAAAAATTGCATATGAGGTTGGTAAAAAAAATGCAAACATCACAAAAATAAAAACTGCCTCTCTAACCCTAGTTATCATTGCTGATCTTTCCAGAAATATTCTCTACACAGATAAACATAAGTACATGTAGCCATATAGCATTATTACTTTGTAAAGATGTATTGGAGCCAGCGTTGTGGCACAGTGGGTAAAAGTCACCACCTGTGATGCCTGCATCCCACATGGATGCTGGTTTGAGTCCCGGCTGTTCCACTTCTGATCCAGCTCCCTGCTAATGGCCTGGGAAAGCAGCAGAAGATCATTCAAATATACGGGTCTCTGCCCGCCATGCGCGATACTCAGATGTCCAGATGAGGCTCCTGGGTTTGGCCTGGCCATTGTGGCCATCTGGGGAGTGAACCAGCTGGAAGACCTCTCTCTCTCTCTCTCTCTCCCCCTAGCTCTGCCTTATAGATAATAAGCAAATTTAGTAAACATGCCAGTTTCCAACAAAAAAAAACCAAAACAACAAAAAACCTAATAAATTGCTTAAAAAATCTAGTTAATTCCTACTTTAAAAAGATTGATTGATTGATTTGAAAGACAGAGGGAGAGAGAAAGAAATATCTTCCACCCACTGGTTCACTCCCCAGATATCTAGGCTGAAGTCAGGAATTCCACTCTGTCTTCAATATGGGTAGAAGGGGCCCAAGTCCTTGTGTCATCTGCTGCCTTCCCAGATGTATTAACAGGGAGACGGATCAGAAGTAGAACCATCAGGATTCAAATTGGGATGCCTTAACCCACTGCACCACAATGCTGGTCCCTTATTTATATATATATATATATGTTATAAATATATATAAATAATATTTATATATTACATATATTTAAAGATTTATTTATTTATTGAGAAGCAGTTACAGACAGAGAGAGGGAGAGACAGAGAGATCTTCCATCTGCTGGTCACTCCCCAGGTGGCTGCAGCTGGAGCTGGGCCGACCCGAAGCCAGGAGCCAGGAGCTTCTTCCGGGTCTCCCACGTGGGTGCAGGGGCCCAAGCACTTGGGCCATCCTCTGCTGCTTCCCCAGGCACATTAGCAGGGAGATGGATGGGAAGTGGAGCAGCTGGAACTTGAATTGGCGCCTCTTTGGGATGCTGGTGATGCAGGCAGCGGCTTAACCCGATGCACCACAGCACCAGCCCCTATTATTGTATTTTAAAAACAAGGCCGGCGCCGTGGCTCACTAGGCTAATCCTCCGCCTAGCGGCGCCGGCACACCGGGTTCTAGTCCCGGTCGGGGTGCCGGATTCTGTCCCGGTTGCCCCTCTTCCAGGCCAGCTCTCTGCTGTGGCCTGGGAGTGCAGTGGAGGATGGCCCAAGTGCTTGGGCCCTGCACCCCATGGGAGACCAGGAGACGCAACTGGCTCCTGCCTTCGGATCAGCGCAGCATGCCGGCCGCGGCGGCCATTGGAGGGTGAACCAACGGCAAAGGAAGACCTTTCTCTCTCTCTCTCTCACTGTCCACTCTGCCTGTAAAAAAAAACAAAAACAAAAACAAGTTTGAGGGTCAGCATTGTGTTCAGCAGGTTAAGCTGGTGCTTGAGACATGGGCGTCCCACACTGGAGTTCCAGTCCTGGCTGCGCTGTTCCTGATGCAGCCCCTGCCAATGCATCTGGGAAGGCCGTGGAGGATGGCCCAAGCGCTTAGACCCCTGCACCATGAAGGAGACTGGGGTGGAGTCCTGGCTCCTGGCTTTGGGCTGGCCGAGCTTGGACCATTGTGGTCATCGGGGGAGTGAACCAGTGTACACTGCCTTTCTATTCAATCAATCAATCAATCTTAAAGGCTATAGTGAGCATAATTTAAACACTGGCTTTAACACAAACATGAATGCCGTGGATGCTGGATATTTCCTGTAAGTGATTAATCTTTAATTGCTCAGTATTAGCCCAGAGGGATTGAATCATCCTTTGAAAATCCTGCTGGATCTCTTGACTTGGAAAACTAAACATGCTTATCCGGTCCCAACAGAGGGGAAAATGCCTCCCATCAAAAGAGTGCCTGCCACGTGCAGGCTTGTTTCCTACTCACTTCGTCTCCCGGCCACCACACGAGGTAGGTGCTTTAATAGCCCCATTTCTCAGATGAGGAGACTGACTCCAGTCAGGGAAGTGCTGTGATTTGCTGGAGCTCGCACCACTTGCAAGTGGCAGAGCTGAGGTTCACAGCCAGCAGGTCAACCTCTTTAACCATTGCAGCCCCATCCCCTCCAGGTGGTCCGTATCCTATGCACCCAAACACACCTGAAGATTAGTCCTCAGCCATGAATTGCAGGTAGAGGAGAGTAAACGCTTAAAATTTTGCCACTCAATTCCTCACTCAAGAAGTGAAGCCTTTAGACGTCCACCAACCAGGCCCTGCCCAACCTGTGAAAGCATCAGCTTCTAGCACCCATGGGGACAAACGGAGTGGACCCTTGTCCTAGCAAAGAGTGTGGCTCGGCTCTGGACAGCACGGAAACCTCCCGAGTTCATCTCGGGTGACCGGCTTGCCTTGATTTCATCATCCGCTGGCAGAAGGAGCCCAGCCCGTATGCCTCTCTCTGTGTGTCGCCTGGTGAAGTCATTGCTGGTTGCCTAGCAACACGGCTGGCGCACACACAATGACTCTCAGGCCTGGCAGGACACCTGAGCCTCCTGTGGCCATGGGATCACACTAAATGGCTGATGCAAATGCAGATGGGAGGAAGAAGTGGCTGGCCAAGGAGCTGGACCAGGCCCAGACACAAACAGAGCCAGAGGCTCAGGGGATGAACGGAACCTGCAGGATTAAGAGGTCACTTGAGGCTGTCTCATTCTTCCACCTGCCTCTAGGTGGCCAAACCTCTCCATGCAAAGAGCCTGGAATGCCGTGACTTGGTATCAATGGAGAAGAGAGTAGAAGAGAAACACCCCTTTCTCCAGTGCTGTGTGGCAGCAGAGGTCTCCAGTGTTGGCTGGAGAGCTAGTATATTTAACCTGAGCGGTGTGTTCCAAACATCGGGAGTGGTTGCCAACAGGTTAAAAACAGAATTTTCTAGCCTCTTCTGGACTAAAGGGGAAATATGACAAGTGGCAACTTGGGGGAGCCATGGGGAAGCAGCTGGGGTGCATGTTCTAGTTTTCCAGACTCCGCATCACTCCTCACTGTCTCTCCCGCTCCCTCTCTTGACTCATTTCCTGCCTGCTCTTAGAAACATCTGATTCAGGACACCTGCCCTGGTGTTTGAGTCATAGCAACCAAATACGGATGTAGACAGGGATGGATATAAGCGTGCATGCATGGACATAGGGGCACGTATGTTTCTGTTGTTGTTGTTTATTTAAATATTTATTTATTTGAAAGGCAGAGAGAGAGAGAGCGAGAGAGAGAGATCTTCCATCCACTTGTTCAGCTCACTCTCCAAATGGCCACAATGGCTGGAGCTGGGCCAATCTGAAGCCAGGAGCTTCTTCTGGGTCTCCCACATGGCTGCAGGAGCCCAAGCACCTGGGTCATCTTCCACTGCTTTCCCAGACCATAGCAGAGAGCTGGATCAGAAGTTGAGCAGCCGGGACTCGAACTGGCATCCTTATGGGATGCCAGCACTGCAGGCGGTGGCTCTACCCCCTGCCACAGCACCAGTGCCAGGGGCAGGTGTGTTTGACCAGGCTAACTGAGCACATGCCGTATGTGGAGGCCTGTGCTGTGTGCTGAGGAGCTACGTGCAGAATGAGGCCAGTGTGGCACACGGTCCTGGTCCCTGGGACTCACCGTCAAGTAGGGAGCCTCATGGGACCCTCACGCCGAGGACTCTTGGGTTGCTCTTCCTGAGTGTTAAGGAGGAAAACACAGTGTGTGGAGTCCAGCAGGGGATCCCGACACCTCTGCAGGAGCGCGAGAGGCACGTGGGAAACCGTGTCTTAGCCCCCCCGGCACACAAGCCAGCCCCGCAGCCTTGCTCAGGGCCGGGCCGTACCTGGTCCTTTCCTGCCCTTGCTCAGCAGCCTGCCTTGGTCCCTGGAGGAGCTGGAGCTGCCGGCAACAGGCAGGGGAGACGGGAAGAATCCCCCAGCCCGGGGCAGGAGGGACCCCTAATGCTAACTCTACATGGGCAATGCGGTTGCGCCTTATTAGGTGGGGGTGCTCTGTCAGATGCTCTTGCTGGATCAAGCACATTCAGTCCCATCCAGGAGGCCACACTCCTCTTAGCCACGTGTTTAAAGTGAGTACCCTGACGAGGTGCAGTAGGTTAATCCCCCACCTGCGGCGACAGCATCCCATACGGGAGCCGGTTCTACTCTCGGCTGCTCCTCTTCCAATCCAGCTCTCTGCTGTGGCCTGGGAAAGCAGTAGAAGATGGCCTAAGTCCTTGGGCCCCTGCACCCACAGGGGAGACTTTGAGGAGGCACCTGGCTCCTGGCTACGGATCGGCGCAGCTCTATCCATTGTAGCCACCTGGGGAGTGAACCAACAGAAGGAAGACCTTTCTCTCTGTCTCTCCCTCTCACTGTCTGTAACTCTACCTCTCAAATAAATAAATAAAATCTTTAAGAAAAATGCTTTTAAAATAAATAAATAAATAAATAAATAAATAAGTAAAGTGAGTGCGCTGAGGTTCAGAGAGGTTATGGAGGGCTCCTAGCAGTTCACTGTGGGGGCTGGGACTTGAGGCCCCATCTGCAGATTCTGAACTGCTCTTAACCACTGTGTCCTGATGGCTTCCGGAGAATTCCCAGCACACTGGGATTCACAGACTCTGAGGCTGCCTAGGGTTCTTAGGGAGATGCTCGGTTTGCTTTATTTGCATGGGTTGGGACCAAGTGTGGGGTGAGGCCCCCTGGGATCCCACATCATGTCGGAAGGGAGGGAGGCCAAGGCAGCCCCGGCCGGAGGGCAGCTCTGGTCTCGTGCAGCCTCCGCTTGCTGATCTGTAAGACAGGGACGACGGTTGCCTTATAGAAGTTACAGTTGTCTGATAGAGAAGATGCTCCGAGGCGCCGGACACAGGGCCTGGCTGAGGGAAGCGCCCCAGAAATGAGCTTCACAGGCCGTGTAATACCTGGCTTGCCGCAGCAGAAGGGGGCACCGAGCTGCAGGCCATCAAACGGTGCAAACGCTGCCCGTGATCAGTGCCACAGACTTAAAATCCTCACCAAGGAAGGCAAAGTAGTGATAGCAGTAATGGTGACAATAACAAAAAATGATGTCGATGACACAGTGCTCAGACTTCTCAGGTGCCACATACACCGAGTCCTGTAGCCGATCAGTGTTCTAAGCCGGCTGTAGTCGATGCTACACCTGCTCCTCCAGCAACACTGTGGCCTATGGAGACATTTTTTCAAGTCCTGGACCAGAGCTGGCCTGACTTACAGCTGCATTCTGACCTCCCTCCCTCCCTCTCTCCCTTGCTTCCTCCTTTCCTCTTCTTTCCTTTCTCTCTCTCTCTCTCTCTCTCTCCTCTCTCTCTCTCTCCTCTCTCTCCTCTCTCTCCTCTCTCTCTCTCTCTCCTTCATTTTATTTGAAAGGCAGAGAAAGAGACAAAGAGAGAGCTTCAATCCACTAGTCATACCCCAAATACTCCTAACAGCTGGGGCTGGGCACAGCTGAAGCCAGGAGCCTGGAACTTCACCTGGGATCCCATGTGGGTGGCAGGGGCCCACGTGCTTGAACCAGCATCTTCCGCCTCCCAGTGCGTTAACACGGAGCTGGATTCACGCCGACGAGCCAGGATTGGCACCAGGCACTGTGGTGAGGGCCGCCTGCATTCCCAGCAGTGACTTCATTGCTGTGCCAAACACCCGCCCCTGTTCTGCCTTTTCCTCTCTCAGGGTCTGCTCAGTGGCTGCTCAGGGCTGGAGACGGGAAGCCGGGTAAGACAGAGTGGCGCTGGAGGCTTGAAGGCCAAGAGAAGTCAAGGAGGAGTCCACGGGCTGATCCAGGTGAGTGGCAAGTCAGCCAGGGTGGGCTCAGCACTTCCGCAATCCCCTGGGGTTGGATTCCCAGAGTGAACCTGGCCATCGCAGGTGAAGATGTGACTTCTGAAGGCCCCTTCAAGGCGGCTCCCTGCTCTGTAAGGCCCAAGTGCTAGCGCTCGTCACAGGTTCTGTTTCCTTAGAGGACGGGCTCCATTCTCAACTCCAACAGCAACGGGCCCTGCTCATCTAGAAGAACTCTTAAGCGGCAGCCTGTACCAACATTTCTTTTATCAAGTAACATCCTGGAAGCAAGACGTACATTCATGTTTTGGTTTTGGTATCTACGCTGATTAGAAAGTTGGTTCTGTACTTGATTAAGTTCTGTAGAAATTGGGCTTGGGATGAGTCATTAAACAAAGACCCTTTTTTTTTTTTTGGGTACAGCAATGAAGCCTCAAATGATTAATTAAGGGCACAATGCCAAAACAAGTGTCTTTGTTTAAAGCGCAGTGGACAAGACAGCTTTGGGAAAGTTGATGTCTTAAGTAGACGCCACAGCATGTTTTTAATTATGTTCAGGAAGATGAACAAGAATAGGAATCGCCAACTGTTTAGAAAGATAATTTTTTTTCAAAGAAAGATTAGAATTAAAAAAACCAAACAGAGCATTATTGATTTAACACAAATGCCATTTGTTGGGCCTTTTGTGATTTCCTTGTTAGTGTCATCATTCCAGAGTTCACATCCCCCTGCTGTTCCTGCGTTTGGCATCCGTTCAGCTCTCAGCAATGTGATACGGCAAACGCGCAGTGACTGCTCATATTAAAATGTTTTATTTGTTGTAACTGTACAGATGATCCAAGCGGTGCACGTCCTAAATTATCCCAATCATTGCTCAGGCTTAATCAGAAGAGAGGGAGTCAGTGACCGCCTCCGTGAGATGCGCAGGCGGGCCCAGGGAGCGGAGGCCCAGCCTGTCAGTTGGAACAGAAACAACCGGGGAAGGGTTCACGCAACACGAGCCCCCCATCGCGCCATCACCAGCGCACCCGCCACCGCGCTGAGACAGACATCAGCCGCCCGGATGACGTCCACCGCGAAAGATGCTTTTGCCAGCAGCTGAGGCTTGGCTTGAGGCGGGCAGTCAGGTTCCATCTGGATCAAAGTGTCCGATCTCAATATTAATGGCAATGATGGGTTGAGCTTTAGACAAGGCCAGCTCTTAACTGTAAAATGCTGAAGACAGAAGAGGAGCCCTCGGGTTTGGCCCTTTCCGCCCAGACTGTCAGGAAATGGCCTTGACTCATTTGGAAATTGACGGAAGTGCTGCAGAGTAGGGGCGATGGGCCCCGTCTCCCGGAAGTCATTTGGACACACTGCTCACAGGTGCCCACGGCCCCCTTTCTTCTCCCTTGTTGCTCATTCCACCAGGTTCTGAGAAGTGGTTAATTATTCTGTTTGCTGGCAAGTAATGGTTCTATCACGTCCTAAGCGTTGACGTCCTAAGCGTTGACGGTATTAGAGACCGGCATGAGAAGTGCCCAACAGATGCTCTGCGTGGCACTGGCACTGGGCTCTGTGCTGAAGGCTGGGGACGTCAGGGTGGGCAAGAAGGACCCTTCCCCTCAAGAGCTCAGACTCCAGGCTGGGAGACCCGAAGGGTAGCATTTCTGGGGGAGGGGTGGGCTCACATTCTGGGAACCCGCAACCTGGCGGAGGGGCAGAGACCAGGAAACAGGTAGACACCGCTCTGACCCAGAGAGCACGGTGCGCGATGCCAGAGGCAAGCTGTGACCCCCAGGCCAGGTCCGTCCTGCAGCGGCCTCTCTGGAAAAGCCCGCGAGCCGGCAATTGCTTGCACATTTTTAAGTGGGTGGGAAGAAAGCGTACAGAAGAACGTTTGGTGTCATATGAGAATGAGAATCACATGACTTTCCAACTTCAGGGCCCAGAAGGATAGCTGTATCGGAGCACAGCTGAGCCCGCTTGTGTGAGCTAGGGCGGCCCCGTGCTGTGTGGACCGTGGACAGTGTTACAGATCTTGTACAAAGAATGACAAGAAGTAGTTAATGAAATGCACCTGCGCTGGTCTGTGTGGCACATGAGGACAGCCGTGGGCGTGGTTACGTACCGGAACGACCTTTCCACCGGCTGTGGTTTGCTCACCTGCCCTCAACCAGCATCCACAGATGTGTGGCCGAAGTTCGGTTGCTTTCTCCTCTCGGCCTGATTTGCATTGTGCAGGGAGAGTCAACCCAGGAGATGAGAGGCAGGAAGAAACCGTGTTCCTGTTTGTTTCCAAGAGATGCCACGTCCTGGGCGCATGCGTGGGGACCTTGTGGGCATATGCCAACCCACAGCCCATCTACAAGGTGAGAATGGCGTTCACCAGCATTTCCTGGAGGAATTCTGTCCTGAGCCACTTGGGAGGGGACCAGGGGCAAACTGATCCAATAAACTGGTTTTGTCAGAAGGCCTTTGTTTTCCTGACTCCACCAGGAGGCTTGGTGTCATTGCACCTACGAGAGGAAAGTGGGACTGGATTCTGTGGGAACAAAGAAATCAGAAAGAAAGCTGGGGCTTGTGCGGTGGGGGAGGAAAGAAACCTCTGGGATTTTTCTGGTGAGATGGGAGCCAGGCTTCAGCAGGTGCGGCTGTGGCGAGTGAGGTCACGCTGCACCCCCACTGCTCACGATGCCATCGTGAGAGAACCTGGAGTGATGCAGACTTGGGGCTGGCATCCAGTGAAAATCGAGGCAAAGGTTGGGATCAGGAAGTCGGAGGAACGGCGGCCACCTCTGATGTCTCTCCTTTAGGGTGGGTGGACATTGTGCTGCGCAGGTGGCCACCCCTGGGCAGGAAATGCGCAGGTGCTGCCCCCCCTCCTTCTCTGTCCTTCCCCATCCCCAGGCCATGTTTCAGTTTTCTGCCAATCACTGGCCACCACGGACTTCCTGTTACACTGGAACGACTGGTTACAAGCTGGGTGAGTTTCGCCCTTTTCTCGGGTCTCTGAGAGCAGAGATGGTGCCTGCTTTGTCCACTTCTGCATTCCCAGGTCGTAAAGCAATGCCTGGCAGCAGAAGCTCCCATCCTTGTGTTCCACAAATGGCCAGGACGACGTGGGCATCCCCACAAGCTGCCGCAGCTAGTTAGTAGTCCCTGCTGTCCACCTGCCGATCACAGGCTCACTTTTGCACTGACGCTTCCTTTACTCACCTGGGTGGCACCAACAGCTTCCTAAATATCTGCCAACTTCTGCCCCCGTCCTGTCCGAATCCGGCCTCCACACCACGGAATTCCTTCCCAAATGGTGATTTGGATGGATTTCGTTAACTACTTCCTGTCGCTCTTTGTACAAGATCTGTAACACTGTCCATAGCCCACAGAGCTACCCAGATGGGTCCATCTTTCTTCCACTGTCCCTGTGGCCTTGGAAGAACATTCACCTGCCCTTTGTTCTTCCAAAACACCCCGTGGCGCCCCCCTCGGGGGAGGTGGTCCTGTTCCCGGAGTCCCCCTTGCTCCTTCCTCTCCCTCGGGTCTCGGCTTAAGATCAGCGCCTCTGAGAGGCCTTCACTCCCCGCCCTTTCTAGAATAAGCCGCCCCCAGCACCTCTTCTTAGCACCTGCTCTGCCGTCCTCTGCTGGCCTCGTGAGCTGCGACTCCCTTATTCATCCGTCGTGCATTTACTTCACGATCTGCTCTCTTTACCCCGCATGCTGCCACCATGGCAAAAATGACCTTGATTGTGTTACTCCTAGCTGAGGACTAAAACAGCACCTCGCCATGATGGGCACTCAGTAAATATTTGCAGAATGAATGGCTGAACTGATCTGTGTATGCGGAACTTCCTGACATCAAAGAAGCTGTCTTGCAGTGGCTGGATCCTCAAATGATATGTCGTAGGTCTGCCTACATAATTCTAACAAGCTGACGTAGAAGAGCACAAGCCTGTCGATTGCAAACATGTTCTTAGATTGACACAGGGACCTCCAAAAAATTCAAAGAAAGATGCATTGCAAAGATACTTGCTTTGGTGCACACACACAAAAAAAATTTTGAAACGCACGCATAGCTTTCTCATAATAGGCATTTTCCATGATTGCTCGAAGACCCCTCGTATTGAAGTTATAGTAATGAAGTTCATGGGGCTGGCACTGTGGCGTAGCAGGTAAAGCCGCTGCCTGCAGAGTCAGCATCGCATGTGGGCACAGGTTTGAGTCCCGGCTGCTCCACTTCAGATCCAGCTCCCTGCTAAAGTGCCTGGGAAAGCAGTAGAAGATGGACCAAGTGTTTAGGCCCCTGCACCCACGTGGAAGACCTGGAAGAAGCTCCTGGCTTCTGGCTTTGGATTGGCACAGCTCCAGTCGTTTCAGCCATCTGGGGAGTGAACCAGTGGATGGAAGACCTCTCTCTCTGTCTCTCTCTGCCTCTGCCTCTCTGTAACTCTGTCTTGCAAATAGACAAAGAAATCTTATAAAAAAAAAAAAAGAAAGTTTGCAAATAAGGTTTGAAACAATTTTAAGTTTTAAATCCAATTTTGGGGAGAGTGCAGAGGACCGGATGTGGCCAGTCGATTGCCTCTGGGTATGTAGTCTTTGCAAGATGACCATGGTCAAGTCTTTCAAATAAAGCACACTCGTTCCTTGATCCCACCATCACCTAGCCCTCTCCCCAAAGTGGGATCAAAGTCAACAGCTGTTGTGCAGGGGGGAGAACTACAGCCTCCCACCTTGGGTCGGATTAACACGTAAAGGGAAGCCTTGGACTTGGGTAATTATGGGATATTTCCTTAATAAACCTTATCTGATCCTTTTCCGTCACTAATTGTGTGTAATTATATTTATGTGTGAGAACGCTGCACATTAATGGAGACCAGAGCCCTGAGGATTTACAAAACGTACGAAGCATTTGCCCGGATACAGCCAGCCACCGCCTGTCACCCAAGGAACATGGGGAGAACAGAGTTTGTCGAAAAGAAACGGAAGGGTAGGAGAAACCCAACACGTTCATTGATTGATAATATTTTTATTAGGCTGTTACTTTCAAGTGTCTTTTAGTACCTGCACTTGAACTTAAATGTCTGAAAAGGAATGGGTATTCAGGAAAAGGAAAGTAATTACACCCTGTAATTCTGATTTAATTACAAGGAAATAGATGTAACACGATGTGATAAAAGTTATGATAGGCTCTTTAAATGATATATGTCATTAACATGTTAATTGGCATGAAATCTGAACTCGCAGCCGGAGAGATCGTAGGTGAATACGAGGTCATCTCCATCACAGGCAGTCTCATCGTGAAATTCCATGGAAGCACGTGGGGTTTCAGTCTGCAGCGCACTTCCCTGTTTCCACTCAAGACAATGAAATTCCAGTGCTGCTTTCAACAGAAGGAGGAGGAGAAAGGGCCAACGTGAAGACGTTGGGGTGGTTGGCGTGAACGTGTCGTTGAATGGGCGCGACCTCAGGACCGGATCAAGTAGGAGAATCGTTTTCCTGTGGGTCTCCCAGCATCGCAGCGTAATGATGAAATGGAATGCACGGTTCTGAGGAAAAGGCCGGTGTTTCCTCAAAGGCTCATCCCGGATCTCTTTATTTTAGGTGATTGCCGTGTTCTGGCTCGCGGCTGTGGTTGGCAATCCCAAGCGTGGAGAGTGCAGGGTCCGGTCAGTGGCAGGAAGTAGCCCGACTGGACGGGAGGCACGGCGAGAGGAGAGAGCGGGGCGCCACGTGGGGCCTGGGGCCCCAGAACTCCTGCTACTGATATTTCAAACGCCATCCCCGCCCCCAAGGGGGCCGCTGATGTGCATTGAAGCGCTCCAGTATTACAAATCCCGACACGCCACCGCATGCCACCACTCCCAGGACGGAAATGTTTCCGTGGGATAAGCCGCGTGGACGCCCTGTGCCACACAGAGCCAGGCTGGTATCTCTGGCAGCAGAGCCAGCTGTGGGTGTGAAGGGACCAAGTGGCGCCTGCACAGACGCTGCTCGCTGGCCCCGTCCTCTTCAGCTCCTGGGGCAGGTATCCTAGGCCAATTCAAGTGATTCGGGAAGGGACTGGATTCCTGAGCCTCTACCCTGGGAAATAAAACTCAACCAGAGAAACTCAGGGGGGCCGGCAGAGGGGGAGACCTCCAGGCAAGGGGACGTGGGGACGGGAGCTGGTATTTTTGCGAGGTGGCCCTAAGAGGTGAGCAGTACGGACTTGCATGCAATTCACCCTCACTCACGTTAATCCACTTGATGCCCCCCCAACTCACCCCTGCCCCAGGGCCTTTGCACATGAAAACCCCACTGCTTGGAATGCATTCCCCCCATTTCCCTCCCTTCATTCAGGTCTCAGTTCAAACGTCACCTTCTCGAGATCACCCCATTCAGACCAGCGCCCCCAGAATCTGTAACTCCCTGCCACTTCTTCCTGCCACTGTCTTTGTAGAAATGACCTTTGTATTGTTGCCTGTGTGTCTTAGTTCATAGCCTGATTCCCTGTACAGTGTAGGGACCCTGAGGGCTGTCACCTGACCTGTCTTGTTCACTGCTCTGTCCCCACCTGCACACAGCCTCCGCACACGGAGGTTAATGCAGGTGTACTCCATGGCCTAAACAAGAGTGTGGCCCGGTTACCAGCTCTGTGTTTTGGGGTTGTTGTCTTAACTCGTGGAAAGCTCAGTAGCTTCGCTGGTTGAACAGGAAAACGTTTTTCAAAATACGTAGAAAATGCATCTTATGAAGAAACTGCGCATGCATTTCAATTTTTTTTTTTTGCATTCAGTTGAACTCACTTTAAATTCAATTTTTTCCCATGAACTTCTTGAGGTGCCCTTGTCAAAGTGGCTGTGTATTGAGCAGAGCGTAGGCTGTGGTCCTGGGCACATCCGATCCCCTCCTTGGCAGTGCCCAGCTGAGGGCGACACTCAGGGCAGGCGCCTCGGTGAGGGGGAGCGGTAGGAGGGGTGCAGAGCACGGAAAGATGTGGACCCAGGAAGCAGTCCCGTGCTGGGTGCAAACCCAGGTCCCACTGCTTACTGGCCTGGGTGGGGAGCTTTGCCTGTGGGCCTCCATCTCCTCATCTGTAAAATGGGCTCACAGAGGTTCTGCTCGTGTCCGCCATTGCACCTCTGGGTCAGGCCATGGCTCTGGGGCCACAGGGCAGGAGGAATTCAGCAAGCACGTGGTCTCAGAAGCTCCCTTATGGTAGTTGAGCCCAAAGGTTTGAAAATGGTCTCAAGAGGAAGCAGGTGAAGGAAAACCTTTGCAGGTCGGCCCGGCGGTCACGTGGCAGTGGCAACCGTGCCACGTTGCCTGCGGCACAGGTGTGGGATGCCGTCATGGCCCTCTGGAGCACTCACGGCTCCCGGAAAGGCAAGGGCCAGGTGGAGACTTCCCGCGTGTCCCTGCCGGGCCAACAGCTCGTTTTCATCTTGGAGCGTGGGTCCAGCTCCAGCTCCCCTTTCTGCCACAGACGCCTTGGGAGGCTCTGGCCCCGCCTCCCTGTTCCTCCTCTGAGGTTCCTTGGTCGTTTCTCTCCATCTCCCCGGCGCCCCCACATGCGCAGCCGACTCCTCACCTGCTATCATAAAGACAAGGAGGCCATTCATAATTTAAGCCGGCCCTTTCTTGCCGACACGCCAGCAACAGGAGCCGGATGCTGGAGGAGAAATTGAACTCTCTCTCCCAGGACACACTGAAGATCAAGCAGAATCTCATTAAGGCTCACTTCAAAGAGTCGTCCTTTATTTCCATACAAACAAGTTTAAATTATCGTGTGCGAATCTGCTGTTAGCAGGGACTCTGTTCCATTATGCATGATTCCTTACTGCTTGTATCATGAATAATGGCTGGTGCTCCATTAGCCATTTCCAGTAATATGCTAAACTTTGGGAGTGGTCACGTTATTAGGTTAAAGTTCTGTCGTGGCATATTTATTTTATTTCTTACTCAAACTACAACGCTCTGGTTCATCAAAATAAGTCTCGCAATCTCGTTACAATTAAAAACAGCGTAACACACACTGTAGCTCTGAATTCTTCATTACTGTTAATATTGAATATTTATTGAGCATGTATTATGTGCAGGGATTGGTGTTCAGAGCATGTCTTGCACGTGTAATATTATTTAGTTTTCAGTAGAACCCCATGACATAGCTGTGATCATTATTTCCATTTTATAGGTTAAAAATAAATCAATAACTAGGGAAGGATCTAAACTGTCCATGGATAAAACTCAATCAGTTGGCTATGCTGACTCAAATCCATTTGTTTGGCTTCAGAGTCTCTCAGAGATGAAGAAAGAAGTCTATATTTTAACCACGCTATCTTTTTCAGAAGAATCTATCATTGGCGAAGTAGGTGATTTGGTGCCCACTGTACAGATGCGCAAACTAAGGCCCAGGAGTTTGGTTCCTGGGAGTAAGATCATTCTTCAGACCCTGGTTTTGCCTTAGGCGGGGGGGGGGGGGGGGGCATTGTGGCTTCTGTGATTTCTAGGGATTTGCGCAGGATTTTCCCATCATTCTCTTTGCAGCATTGTCCTTTGCGGCCCATGGGACTGGCTGACTGGTTCATTTATTGATTGCGTGACCTTGGGCAAGTTCCTTAGCTTCCTCCACTTCAGTGTCTTCACCCGTGTAAAGGGGCAAATACCTGTCTCTCTCAGGCTCTGTGTCAGGGATCGCCTATGTGAAGAGCTGACAGAGGAGGGCACGTCACAACCACTGTCTACACTGAGCTCAGATGTCTGCACTACTGTGTTTGCATTACTTCATTGCACCATGTGAGTCTCCCATTAAAACATCTTGTGAGGCTGGCACTGTGACATAACAGGTAAAGCTGCTGCCTGCAGTGCCAGCATCCCATATGGGCTCCACTTCTGATTCAGCTCTCTGCTGTGGCCTGGAAAAGCAGTAGAGGATGGCCCACGTCCTTGGGCCCCTGCACCCGCATGGGAGACCTGGAAGAAGCTCCTGGCTCCTGGCTTCGGATTTGCACATCTCTGGCCCTTGTGGCTAACTGGTAAGTGAACCACTGGATGGAAGACCTCTTTCTTTCTCTGCCTCTCCTTCTTTCTCTGTGTAACTCAAATAAATAAATAAATCTTTAAAAAACATCTTGCATGCTATTGGGACATCTTTCTTATAGCCCTCTCTTCTCTTGGCATTCCACAGCTTGACCAATGAAGTCATCATTTATTCCACTGTTCCTTCCTATACCCACACCCCAGGATGCTAATTAGCCAATGGCACGTCCCCACGGCCACACTCATAGCTTAATGAAAGACGGTAAGATGGTTGAAGACATCATGGTAAGTACTGTCTCACAGTCCAATCTCAGGCTATTGGAAAACATTTGGAAGGGAAGCCTGGAGAGGCCACAGCTTTTCTTTTTAACCTCTGGAATTGGCTGATGTCAAATCCAGCGCCATTGTCAAGACAGGAAATGCTGGGCTTCTCTGGAAAATGTCTTAATAATTTCTGCCTTATTTATTCGAGATATTTGGCGAGCTTGATGGGGAATAATTTTTCCATTTGGAAATGTGTCACAGAATGCCGCAGACAGGAAATCAACAGAAGGAAGCCTCAGCTTAGAGGCTGACCCAGGCGCTCTAAACAGCCTGCCCTTTGCGACACAGCCCTCACTCCCTCCGCTGCACCTGCTCAGTACCTCTAACGCCCTGGGTCCCGAGTCCACCAATTCTTCAAGATCTGCCTCAAGGTCACATTTTGCTCATGCCAGAAACTTCTTCCCCAGTACAATGCAGACTAGACTGTACCCACTTCCCAGAGTTTTCCCAGCTATTGTTCATGGATTTGGTGAGTGCTGCTTATTCTCATCCCGTCCATTTCACACGACCCGACTCCCCCTTCCTACAATTTAAAGTTGCTCCACCTTTCCCATGTGTTAGATTCCAAGATGTGAAATACTGGAGTCAAACATAAGGATTATGTTATGTTTCTTGGTAGTGTAGCTTAAATATTCAGAAGGCAATGTCTTTGAGTATCCTACCCATTACTCTCCATCAGGAGCCAATGAGTTATAGCCTGCAGGACAAATCTGGCCCTGCAGGGTGCCTCTGTGAATTAAGTTTTATTGGAACGAAGTCCTGCTCACTTGTTTGCCCGTTACCTATTGCTAATTTTGGACCACATCAGAGCTGAGAAGTTGCCACAGAAACTGTATGGCCATCAAAACCAAAAATACCTGTGATCTGTTCCTTTCTAGGAAAAGTTTGCTGGCCTCTGTTCTAGATGAGAGCTATAAATAAGAGATAATAGGGACAAAATTTTGCCAAACAATTAGGCCTCATGGTGGGGTGAAGAGGTTGTTTAAACTTACAATGGAGTGAGTGGGTACATGCTCATATTTCTTACTGTCTGTGCTGGGGGAGCAGGCATACAGCTGGTGTTTAATAAGGGCTGCTGTTGGATTCATAACTGCTGCTGGTGAGCATGGGCTTGACAATGAATATGGTGACATCCCCTCCTTCCTTTTTCCTGCCCCTGGCTGTGCATGGCTCTTGGAATTTGTCCTGGGTGGATAACTTCCTTTGCACACACCGGTGTATATAGAAAAGCAGTTCTATTATTTAAATTCTCCAAGATCAAGGATGTAAAATGAAGGCTGCCCCTGGCCCCACAAGACATCCAAATAAATCTCACGACTTCCAAATGTGACTGTGTCACCCTGGGATTAATACCGAGTAATCCAGTGCCAACATCAAGACAGTGAAAATAAGCATTTACTCTCCCGGAAAATCATTTTATACTGATTACAAGTTGTAGCCTGTCACTAGGATGCGAATTGAAAATGTGCACATTTGCAAGGTTAATATTTCTCTCTAAAGTCGCTCTTTCCTCGGCCTCCCCCCTTCCCCCACCCCCCGCCCACCCCAAGCTCAAAAGGGACAGGGATTCCAAATAAATATTTGTTCTGAGACCTCCTTATTGCAACATACAAAGTTTAAACTGGATTCTCACGAGCCGACCCGAACCAGAACAGCAGGGAAACAAGCAGCAAGGGTGTGGGCAGGCTCTTCCAGCCAGGGCACGGTTGACATCTCAGGCTGGGTCATGGATGCCTTCTTCTGCATTGTAGGCGGTCAACAGCACCCTTGGCCTCTACCCACCTGATGCCAGGAGCACCCTCTCCTCAGCTGACAGCCAAGATGCCTCAAGACATCGCCCAGTGTCCCCTGGGGGGTCACCCCCTAACCCCACTGAGCAATCACAGCCCTAAGCATCCCGAAGCCAGCAAGCAGCCTACCCATGACACCCGAACAGCACAGGAGGCGTCTGCCCACCTTTCTAGCCTCAGCTCTGCCAGGGCTTTGCTTCTCATCTTTCAACCCAAAGCACGCTGTGCTCTGTCACCTCCCACTGTTTGCTAGTTTTTTTTTTTTTTTTTTTTAAGATTTATTTATTTGAAAGTTAGAGTGACAGAGAGAGAGAGAGAGAGATTGTCCATCTGCTGGTTCAGAGCCCCAAATGGCTGCAATGGCTGGGGCTGGCCTGGGCTCTAGCTGGGGCTCTCACATGGGTGGCAGGGGCCCAAGCACTTGAGTCATTATCTGCTGCCTTCCCAGGTGCATTAGCAGAGGCTGAATTGGAAGCAGAGTGGCTGGAACTTAACCCAATGCTCTGATACGCGATGCCAGCATCGCAGGTGGCAGCTTAATCCACTGTGCACAACACTGGCCCCCGTTTGCTGGTCTTGACCACTCTATGTGGAATTTGATTTTTCCTGATTTATGTGTTATGGAAAATCACCACCTCAATGATGTCTTCCATGACCACTCCTCCTTCAGGCCTAACAGGGGTTAGACGCAGTTTCCTCTGTGCTATCATTGTCCTTTCAACCATCAGTACAGACACAATCATGTAGGAATTGGTCTCCAGGTCAATGTTTACAGTGAAAATGACATGTAACACACGCTTATCCTTGGAAAAGTCACTTAAATCCCCCTGAGTACAGTGTGAATGATTTTTAGAGTTGTCATTTTTTTGAAATTCGGTTTTCCCCATTTAATTTTTATTTGAAAGGTAGAAAGAGAGAGAGGGGGAGAGAGAGGGAAAGAGAGGGAGAAAGAAGGAGAAAGAGGGAGAAAGAGGGAGAAAGAGGGAGAGAGAGGGAGAGCGGGAGAGAGAGAGAGAAAGAGAGGGAGAGAGGGAGAGAGGGAGAGAGGGAGAGAGAGAGAGAGAGAGAGACACCAAGATCTTCCATCTGCTAGTTTACTCCCCAAGTACCCACAACAGTCAGGTTGGACCAGGCTGAAGTCAGGATCCTGGATGTCCATCCTGGGGTCTGATGTGGGTGGCAAGGCAGGGACTCAAGTATTTGAACCATCACCTGTGCCTGCCAGCGTGTGCATTAGCAGGAAGCTGGACTGTAAGTGGAGCTGGAACTCAAACCAGATGCCCCAATATGGGACGCAGGCATCCTGGGAGGCGTTTTAACCACCATGCACTGATTATGCCACATTTATGCTAATGTTTGGAGAAGGACTGAGCCACACTAGGGGAAAAGCACTAGGGAGGAACTTGACGTTCACACCTGGGGTCTTTCTCACCTTGAGAAAATCTCCACTAACAAATGAGAGAGAGGTCACCATTCCAGCTGCCACTTGCTTGTGGGATTAACTTCACTGTTTCTTAAAACTGAAACTCTATAATATCAATGAAAAACTGTCAAGGAAGGAAATAGAGTAGGTAATACAAGTGCAAGTACCTGATATGGCTTGAATATTCCCAAAGTTTTATGTTATTGGTACTAAGAGAGTAGAAACTTAATCCAGTTATGATACTTAGATGTGAGACCTCTGGGAAGTGATTAGATTGGATTGATTGATTAGGATTGAGCACCAGTGATTGATTCCCGGTGACCCCAGAATAAAAGAGAGAATGTAGATAGAGCGACACAGACTCACATTCTGCCTGTCTCTTGCCATGTGATGTTCAGCATCCGAGGGTCATCCACTCACTGAATCCACTCACTCTTGGACTGCGACCCTCCAGAGCTGTGATGAAAAGTAAACCTCTTTCCTTTAGAAAGTAGCCTGCCTCTCTGTTTTGTGATAGTGGTGAGGAGCTGACTTAACTATGGCTCCTGGCACACAGTGGGGCTTTCTGATTAAACTCTAGACCTACACTCTTCTTGAAAGTAGCAGAGGAGAGTGTGGTCAGTTGCACACTGAATTTCTTAACTGGCTGCAACAGTGACTGTGGGTCTCACCATGCTCCAGTGCTACAGAGTCACAGCAGGTTGGTTTTGTGTGTTCTGTTGTGCATGAGTTACTTGAGGACAGGAACTGTGCCTCGATTATTTTTATATCCTGAAAACCTATCATGGAGTAAATGTCCCACAATGGCTGTGAGCTGTCACTGATGTGAAGGAATAAGAGTCTGAATGAACAATATCGTCAATATCTCTGCTTACATTTTTAAAACTCCTTGCCTACTGAACAGAAACATTAGAAGATGCTTTATCTTCAGACTTACAGAATGACAAACACCCTAAACAGCACTCTGACCTCAGAATCAGCCTTTAAGGCATTTGGATCTGGCTAAAAAACCCATGAGAGTATTTTAGGCATGGAAAGCCAAGACACTGGCAAAAAATAATCTACACGTAAGATCTCTGTGAGTGAGATCCCAGTGGAAAGAAGCGACAATCAAAGAAGGAGGTACCTTTCTCTGAAGGGAGGAGCAAACTTCCACTTTGACTATGACCTTGTCTAAATAAGGTCGGAGTTTGTGGACTCAAGAGGCTTCCATAGCCTTGGCAGCTCATGACAAGAGCCTCTGGTGATCACTGACATCATAAATAAGAGCGTCAATTGTTAAATCAACAACAGGAGTCACTGTGCACTTGCTCCCCATGTAGGACCTCTGTCCTCAATGAGTTGTACTATCAGAATTGACAGTACAACTAGTCTTCAAACAGTACTTTATACTGTGTGTGTCTGTGTGGGTGCAAACTGCTGAAATCTTTACTTAGTATAGAGTTGATCTTCTGTATATAAAGATAATTAAAAATGAATCTTAATGAAGAATGGGATGGGAGAGGGAGTAGGAGGTGGGATGGGAGTGGGGGAGGGAGGGCAGGTATGGGGGGAAGAATTGCTATATTCCAAAAGCCATTCCTATGAAATATATATTTATTAAATAAAAGCTTTCTTAAAAAATAAACAAGACAGACTTTATGCACAGTCAAAAAAAGAAGCTCTATCTGATGAAATCTGTGTTATTATAAGCATATAACACAATCTTCAACACTTTGTAGGAGTTCAGCCAATGCTTGCTGTGTTGTAACTATTGACTCCTTAAAAATTAAAAGAAGGGCCGGCGCCTCGGCTCACTAGGCTAATCCTCCGCCTTGCGGCGCCGGCACACCGGGTTCTAGTCCCAGTCGGGGCGCCGGATTCTGTCCCGGTTGCCCCTCTTCCAGGCCAGCTCTCTGCTGTGGCCCGGGAGTGCAGTGGAGGATGGCCCAAGTGCTTGGGCCCTGCACCCCATGGGAGACCAGGAGAAGTACCTGGCTCCTGCCATCGGATCAGCGTGGTGCGCCGGCTGCAGCAGCCATTGGAGGGTGAACCAACGGAAAAGGAAGACCTTTCTCTGTCTCTCTCTCACTGTCCACTCTGCCTGTCAAAAAAAAAAAAATTAAAAGCAGGGGTGGTGTGGGTTTTTGATGTATGACTAAGATGCTGTTCAGGACACCTGCATCCCCTAGCAGAGTGCCTGCTGTGTCCCCAGTGCCAGCCTTCTGCTACTGCACACACCGGGAGGCAGCAGCACCCTTGCCCACCTGTGTGGGAGACCCAGACTGAGTTCCTGGCTCCTAGCTTTAGCTGATCCAGCCCCAGCTTTGTGGGAATCTGGGCAGTGAACCACTAGATGGGAGATCAATCGCTCTCTCTGTGTCTCTGTCTCTCTGCCTTTCAAATAATAATAAAGTGCTGGCTCTTCCAAATTGAAGGAAAACATTAAACACCAGGGCACAATGGCAACAGTGGAATTATTGAAAGTCTCCGTTTGTCAGTGGATGCTCAGCCAGGCAGGTTACTGGGGATGGGTAAATCTAAGCATACTCCTTACTTATCTTTAACTTATCCATAGCCCTTTCTCCTCCTGTGGCCAAAACCATCTGCAGGGCACCTCAAGGAGCAGCAAGCACGAAGCTCCCGCGTCAAGAGAAAACCTGATCACGTTGATTCTTCCCCAAGTGCAGAGTTGAGAACAAAAGCAGCGCGGACAGTTCCTGCCCTGCCGTGACGAAGCCCAGCAAGCTTTGCTAGAGCGCCCTTGACAAAGCACATGTCCCTGTGACTGCTGCTCTGCCCAGCGTGTCTGAATCTGTACTGTAACGACATCCAAATAAGGAAGTCCACAGGCAGAGAGCAGCTCCAAGGAGCGTCCCCACACGGGATCAAGGGAGAAGAAAACAGATCCAAGTCCGATCCTGAAGCCAGGGTGCCCATGGCCCCGGGGGCTGCAGGCAGAGAGGAACCCCTATGTCGCTTCTGCCCGGGAGGCAACGTCTTGCAGATCACTGCTGTCTACAGTTCATGCAGCAGCCACCAGGAAGGTTGCAACGGACTGTGAGAGGCCACGGAGGGACCTTCATGAAAATTGGAGAGAAAGCGATCGCTCCCTGCTCCTGCCCACACTGTGTGTGCAGGCAGCCATGTGAAGTCAGCAGCCAGAGAAGGCAGGGGCAGCCATGATTCCAGATCCCTGAGGTCCGGATGACGTCACAAAGGGTTATTTAATTCCAAGGTACACCACTGGGCTATTCGCACAGAGGGAGGGGGGAAAAAGAATTTATATCCCTTTCATATATAAAAGGAAACAGATGTGATTTTCTTTACAAAAGAGCATTTCATTAAAAAAAAAAAAAAACAAGGCGAGGCAGAGTTAACATAACCATTATTCTCCATCTCAGGAAAAGCAAATCCTGTTTGCCTGTCATTATAGAAGGAAGCAAAATCCTTTCATCCAGTGATTAGTTGTAAACATTCCACTGCCTTCTGGGAGCAGGCCTCCGTTTCCCATCTTACACTGAAGCCATTTTCTTAGACTAATGTTTTATACACACAGCTCAGCTACAATGCAAACTCCCGGCACCCCAAAGGCAACGGGCATTCGTTTATACTAAATCAGAAGTGTCACCCCTGGCAACCTGCAGCAGTGAAACATTTATTCAGCCTTGCATTCCTGGCACTTAGAATTATTTCTTTCATGCCTGATAGCCAAATTACAATATGGCAGGTCTCCCTGGAGCCAGAGGATCATTAGTGCCAGCTCACAACATACTTTCAACTGATATGGCATTTCATGTACAGCTGCCAATCAAAAAATGGGATATGCAAATGAGGATGGGAGCAGTGGCGTACAATTCCTGTACCGTGAGCTCCTCACAGATTTCCTTAATGACTAGCAGTCATTCCGCTGAGTGGGAGAAGAGGAAAGAACACAGAGGAAAATTCCCCCAGGAAGCTGGTTGCAAGAGCCAGAAGTTTTTACATTTGATTTCCATATTTATTCTCTTTCTTGCCCCCTCTCTGTGTTTCTAAACATAGGCCTGAGAACACTTGAGCAGGGTTTGTTATATAAATACGCAGGCTTGTCCACTGCAGGTGGGAGTGGCAGACCACACTAGATGCAAGCCTCAGGGTCTGGCTAAAGAGGAGGTTGGGGTTGGGGCATAGACGGGTGAGGCTCAGATGAGGGGCCAACGTCCGGGTCCTGAGGGGGGGAGGGGGCACGCCTTCGTGTCTGGGGTGATGTGGTTTCCGCTTTGCTCCCAGCGCTTGCTCACCAGAGCCTACCCTCCTGAGCTGTCCTTAGGGATTCTCGAAAGTTCCACGCTCCTTCCTGCCCCAGGCAGGGCTTGGCTTTGTCCTTCCTGGTCATCCCAAGCACGTGGCTCAGCCACCGAGGAGTTAAATCCAACTGACCGACCGAATGAGCAAGTCTCCCCGTGGGTCAGGTATTGCTTAACTGAGCAGAACTCTGGGAACCCTGGACGAACACTCCGGGTCCACCAGGAACCTTGAAAACATCACCACCCACTGCATCCATACATCAAAATAGCACACTGTGCCCCGTGAATGTTGTTATTATTAACCGTACAATTTGTATGAGTCAATTAAAACTATATATTATATAGTCTTTTTTGTTTGTTTTACAAACCACAACTGTGGGGTGACAGGAGGTAAGAGACCATAGGAGGAACCACGGCCCTTGTCACGTCCCACGAACGGAGACGTCTTCCCGACAGCCAAGTGCGGGGTTTTGGCCTTGCACTGGCTGATGGCTGAAGCCCGCTGGTAGGCAAGGAAGAACCTGGATGGCCTTTCGCAGTCTGCCGCCATCCGACACTTAGCCTTTGCCTTCCTACGGCAGTGAAAAGGCCTGCCCGATTGGTATCCCTGTGCTACTCCCCTCTGCCTTCCCTTTTATTTTCCATTTCTGAGAAGTTTCGGTATCATAAGCCAATAATGCGACATTCCAGAGGGATAAAAAAATCCCTGTGAAGAAGTATTTGTCTCTTTTCTGCTTCCTGTTTCCACGTTCTTCCCACTGCTTGTGGAACACACTGCCTGCACGTCGAGGTCTGGATCGATACCTTCTTTTGTCACTTGAGAATATACGATGTCACTGAGTGGCAGGTGTAGATGCATCCTCTGTTTATGCTCTTCTAACAAAGATTTGAGGATGTGAAGTAATGCTTGTACCACGCGGCCCATCACTGATATACCCAGTCGCTGCTCAGGGCGTGTTTTGCACCCACAGCTGGGTGAAGCAGGTGTCACAATCATTTTCTAGAACTGAACTCACGTCCACAGAGGCGAAGGCCTTTGCTCAAGTCCCACAGCTGGGAGTGGATAAGGCTGGGACTAGATGTCAGGATTGTTGTTGGCAAATCCAGCACGCGTTTCACGGACAGGACTCATGGAGAGGAGGAGAGAGAGAGAAAGAGCGACAGCGGAATGCCCCAGCACCCCCAGACAAGCAGAATGGTTAAACAGGCTGCATTTGGATCCGAATAGGTTTTAAATAAATAGGCCTGCACGTGGCGCAAGGTGAGTGGCTTTGTTCAAAAAGCAGTGGGGCCCTGCACCAACACCCCCCACCCCCCACCCCGCCCCGGGCTTCCCGGAGCATCCTGCCCTACTGCAAGCACTCGCCTTCCCTAATGGATGTCTTCCTTGCTCTCCTTCCTGCTATTTGGCTCTAAGCACAGCTCCCAACCGTGTGCTCCCCACATAAATTTGCCCAGGTTTCTGGAAGAGCTCCCTGCCTCTCCAGCTCCTGGGGGGTCTGCTGGGCTCTTACACCTCCCCTTGGTTGAGGTTGAGCCCTCTGTCCCCGGGGGGCACCACTGGACTTGCTCGGGCTTCCTGGGAGGGTGGAGCTCAGAGCCCCGGCTGGTGCTCATAGGTCATCTGATGGGGATTCTGGGAACGCTGCAAATTGCAAAGGTCAGAGCCGGCTTCTCCGGGACGCCTGTGCTGTTGGGTTCCCTCCTGGAGTCATTTATCAGGGTATACTTCCAGAATCCTAATCACGAGTGAGCTTAACATACATGGGGGGATAGGAGGAAATGGCAATGGGTGGATTTTTTTTTTTTTGCAAGTTATGGTCAAATCGTTCTAAGTCAGGAGTTTATCCAGCCCGATAGAACTTCTGGGTGCCTCTCAGGATTAGGGCTGTATTCAGGCCGACCACAGCCAGCTAATACAAGGCTGCATAGTGTGTGCATAGTCTTTCTGGTCCACAAAGCTCTTTCTGGTGGTCCCTGATTGGGACGAGGATCCCACTTTATGGATTTAGACACTGAGGCTGAGCAGAGCTGTGACTTGTCTCAGCCCCAAGCCTTAGATCCCTGTGCTCCCTGTTCCTCCACCCCCACCAGTGTGCGTGTCTGGTCCTGAGAGTTCGGAGTTTGGGAGTTGCTATCCATCTTTGCGGCCACGCATCCAGGGCTCCTGCTGTGCCCAGTGATACAATGCAGACAGGAAATTGTGGGCCCAGGGGAGCCTGGAGCGCCTGGGAAAGGCCACTGCAACTCCCAAGGAGCAATTTGAATATCATTACCCAGAGCCTTCAATTCCTGTCTCGTCTGACCTCTCCTCCCAGCTGCTCTGAGCTCCCTCAGGCCCCGCTCTTACCCTGGGCTGTGCTGGCTCCAGCGTGGGACCGTGCTGGGACTGGTTCCTTGCTTCCCTTCTCCTTCGCTGGTTATTTTAAGCTCTGTGACTGTCCCCAGCGTGGATGGGAGACAGGGGGAAACCATGGGGCAAAAGAACCGAACTCCAGGCTTTTGAGAGTCCAAAGCCGAGGGCCCGGCATTCGCCATCGATTTGACAAACACGTTCTGAGCCAGTCTCGTCCTCGCTCAGTGCCAAGCAGAGCGGCAGGGCCGCTGAGAGCTGTCAGGACTTGGTAGAGGGAGGGCCTTGCAGGACAGCAGGAGCTTGGGCTCCAGGGATGGCCGCTGGGAAGGGACTTTGAAACCGACCACCACCTCCAGGTGAGGATGGCACTAGGTAGGGGATGGAAGAACCCCCCGGTTAGCTGGAGCATCTACAAAGACCCGTGTCCTGCAGCCCTGGGAAGTCCCTTCCAGCTCCAGCTGCCACGAGGGCTGCAGGCCAGGCTGTCTCCTTCTCTGTAGCCTCCAATGTTTCCTTTGTCTCAGCTGAGAAAGAGGAACGGCCAGACCAAGCAAGTGTTCCGGGGGACTAGGACACGCGGCAGCAGGGGACCCTGGGGGTGAGGACATCTCGGTCGATGCTGGTGTGAAATACACGACCCCCACTGCAGACCCCTGGAGATGGTACACAGGCCCCCAAGGCTGCGGGAGGCAGTGAAGGCCAAGGACAAACGAAGTCCCCGGTTCCTCCCCTGCCCTGTCTGCACACGAGTCCCTCAACCTCAGAGCGGTGGGAAATCCTTGAACCCCTGCACTGACCAAGGCACTTTCTTCCCCCAGTTGCTATAATGAGGGCTCCAAGGAATAACTGACATGGATGCACAGGACAAAAACAAAGCAGGTTATGCGTTTCACACACTGGAGTTTGCACTCTGTGAAAACTGTACCCACGTAGGCATTTAATAGCTGGTTCCCTGGCCCTGGGGGAGGCATACTGCAGGGGAGTCAGGAGGCACTCACCAGCTATTTTTGAATGAATGAATGATTCAGAATATCGACACAAGCTGTATCATCACAGAAAATTGTACGCGGGATTGTCCAAAAATTCACGGAAAAGATGTGTCAAGAAAAAAGCGTGCGTGAGTGAAGAATTTATGTGTGCACCAAACTAAAGTGACCTTCCGATTGCAGATTGCCACAGACTTTGTGACGCGCCCTTGTACGTAGCGGCGACAGAGGCTTGCTGTCAAGCAGATGGGTTCATCTTCCACCTCTCATACACTAGGCCCTTGTGGATGCCATAGGGGAGACCTCTGTCAATCACAGATGCAACGTTTGCCGTGTTGGGGATGGAGGGACACATGGAAGGCACCTACATGCCACCGTTAGTAACTCTGCCGCAGCTCAGGCATGAGTTTGGCAGAGAGAGAAGCGGATTATCCGGGCGAGAGCAGCTGCCACGCTGGCTGCCCCTGGAGGACAGTCCTCAGCCTGTGTCTCTCCTGAACGGCCACATGACTACTGTGGTTCTTCATGCATCGTCACGTGTGCAACTCTGCAGTCATGAGAGCATCCTTGATTTGCGGAAGTAGCTGCTTCGTGGGAGCCAACCAGCGAAATACGCGATGGCGGGGAAGAGGGTTTGATGATCTGGATTACCAAGTGACCCAACTCACGTTCACCGGGTGCACAGACACGGGTCATGCCGTCCGTTTTGGGAAACCATTTTTTTTTTTGACAGGCAGAGTGGGCAATGAGAGAGAGAGAGACAGAGAGAAAGGTCTTCCTTTACCGTTGGTTCACCCTCCAATGGCCGCCGCGGCCGGCGCACCACGCTGATCCGAAGCCAGGAGCCAAGTGCTTATCCTGGTCTCCCATTGGGCCATCCTCCACTGCACTCCCTGGCCACAGCAGAGAGCTGGCCTGGAAGAGGGGCAACCAGGACAGAATCCAGCGCCCCGACCGGGACTAGAACCCGGTGTGGCGGCGCCGCAAGGCGGAGGATTAGCCTGTTGAGCCGCAGCGCCGGCCAGGGAAACCATTTCTAACAACTTGATTCCAGCAGGTCCGAACTTCTTGCTACGTGTTTCTTTTCCAAGTCTTTCTCCGTGGCCCGCTGCATTTGTGATGCCTCAGCAGTTTTTCTCCTTTGGCTTATGATGTTACATGAGGGAAATCTACGGCAAGATAACCAAGTCGTTGGGAGGGAGAGGATTTTAATCACAGATGTCTCTGATAATTATCAACCAGCTAGTCACTTGGAAAACAGCCATCTTCCCCCATAGATTCTGGGGTTGTTTTGACTTTCCCTTCCCCCATGGTGTCAAAGGTGTCCCTTAGAAACTTTCTCATTTGATGTCATTGCTGCTTAATTCCTAAAACACCGCTCCAGTTAGATGTCTTGATTTATGTCACCTTTGGGCTTCTCTTGGCAAAGGCATCCCACAAGACTGTCCACTTGTAACTGACTGATTTTAAACAAGCTCATCTCTTCCTCTGGGTGGACTTCACACTGCGCTTGGGAGCGTGGGAGATCCTAAATCCATGGTTGGTGTCAGATCACTTGCCATGACTCAAAAGTAACCTGATAATCTGAATGACAACCAATTAATCCACGCATCCCATGTTTGCTGTGGTCCTTTTATAGCAAACACTGTGCGAGGCAAGAAGGTTGAAGAAAACAAGACAAAGAATAAACGAAACACACACCTGCGACGAATCCTCACCAAGTGGCTTAATCTAATGCGTGAAGAGCCAGGAAAGAATAGGAAATCATTATTCCAGACCTTCCCAAGAGACAGCAATTTGCTTGCGGTCTTCACAATTGGTTTCCACATCATTGTATCGTCTTGTATATTATTTGTCCTTTGTAATTTTATTTCCACCAACTCACTTTTTAAAAATATAAATACCTTCTTTAGTTTGTCCTAAGTAGCATTGGCAAAGTAATGGGTGCCACGTGACACTTCTGTTTCTAAAGTACATGTTGAAACAAATGTTATAATCAATAAATGGATAGATAATTAAAATAAAAAAGTATTCATTAGCTGTACTACCTCCAATCCCCACATTTATTACTAGAGATCCATATTTCACACTTTGGAAAACATTGATTCAATTTTCAAATTAAACACTGAATGCCCATCCCATGAAAAATGCTCTACAGGGATTTAAAATTGTTATGGATGTTCAGAGTCAGCACTTGAATAGGGAGAAAACCTGTTGGGACTTAAAAGCACAAATTCAGTGTGGATTTCAAAAGATGTTTTTCCTGACCTCCAGTGTAAGGGCTGAGAGATTTGCTTGGCTAATATTTTATCTGTGTGCTCTATGTTAGATTGTATTATTTTTTATCTTTTTAAAAAAGATTTATTTATTTCTTTGAAAGTCAGAGTTACACAGAGAGAGGAGAGGCAGAGAGAGAGAGAGAGAGAGAGAGAGAGATCTTCTATCCAATGGTTTACTCCCCAGTTGGCCGCAATGGCCGGAGCTGCGCCGATCTGAAGCCAGGAGCCAGGAGCTTCTTCTGGGTCTCCCAGGCGGGTGCAGGGGCCCAAGGACTTGGGCCATCTTCCACTGCTTTCCCAGGCCACAGCAGAGAGCTGGACAGGAAGTAGAGCATCCAGGTCTCGAACAGGCGCCCATATAGGATGCCGGAGCTTCAGGCCAGGGCATTAACCCCCTGCACCACAGCGCAGGCCCCTATTGTTATCTTTAAAATCCAATCTCAGAGCTTTTGCCAGGGTTTCTCGCAGGATGTCTTGTCTTCTTAGCGCCCTTTGTGGAAATGGGAACTACGTGCAGCCGAGGTAGCCATCTGATCCTGGGGTCAGCAGCGTCTGGCCCGTAGCCTGGTGTTGCTAATAGAATTTTCTCTGTGGCACCTGTTTGCTTCTCTCTCTGGGTGCAGCTGCAGAGCTGAACATTGGCAACAGAGGCCTTAAGACCCTCAAACCCAGGCTGTTTACTATCTACCCATTTACAGTTCAAGTTTTCTGACCGCTGACCGTGGATAGATTCTGGATGAACACGGAAGAACAAGCAGTGGTCCTGCTTCCACAGCTACTGGGAGAGCACTGGTTTGCTTGGAAACTCATAGCCACAGGAAGAGGAAGAACTTCCCAACACATCACAAGAAAGCAAAATTATTGCACGAGACTCAAGGGCAGAGAACAAGTGTGGTGCTCTTGGAAGGGGTATATAAGGCTTGGTAATATCAGAACAAGGTCTTGGCTTTTGTACGCCCAGATCAAAAGATACACTTTTGTGTGAGACTTGTGCTGAGGCCAACTATGTCCCGTCGTCAGTCCAGTAGATGGTGACTCTGTAGGCCGCACTGTGGCCCATAGCATCTAAGGAAGAATAGACAGACACGAATTCTTTGCTAGAATCTATTTCCACTCATTCCGGCTCACTATGACCAGAATGCAACAGAAATGACTTTCAAAATCAGGCCGTAAGAAATGTTGCAACTTCTGTGAGGCCTTGCGGGTGCCTCCTCTAGGGACAGGCAGCACCATGGAAGAAGTCTGGCCATCCTAAGACTGCCATGTTGTGCACAAGCCAAAGTAGCCACATGGAGAGGCTGCGCGCGCGTGCACACACACACACACACACACTCATACACACACACACACTCTGCAGGGGGAGGTGGAGAGGAGAGACGCCCAGCTAGCTCTCAGCTGCTCCAACCACCCCAGCTGAGAGCTCTGAGTTCATGGAGAAATCCACCTGAGATAAGCAACCCAGCAAAGCCCTAGATGAATTCAGGCCCCACTTCAACCCCGTAAGATACCCAGGTGAGAACTTTCAGTTGAGTTAGGTCAACCCTTAGACCGTGAGAGGTAATCGTAAATTACGTGCTTGTAGTCGCTAATTTTGGGGGAGGTTTGTTCTGCAGCACCTCCTTGTTAATCTGAGGTTGTTAGGAGTCAGGCAAGATGGCAGGATCCTGGCAACTGTTCTGTCACGTGGCCCTGCTCATCCCTTCAGCCCACTTTGATCTCTCTCTCCTGAGCGCTTACTGCTAGGCTGCCCCATCCTCACTGTTGGCCAGGACTTCCCCACTGCGGCACTGAATGCCCCCTGCCCTCGCAAACCCCCAGCCCAGAGCCAGCAGCACAGCTGGCACCCTGCTCGCTGCACGCCAGCCAGGGTGCTTTCTTGCTGCTTTTCAAACACACTGCGCTCCTTCCTGTCCTGGGGCCTCAGCACACGCCGGTATCCTTCTCCGGAATGTTCTTCCTGGCCCTGCTCACTTGGCTCGCTGCTCCCCACACTTCATCTTCTCAGGGTAGATTTCTCTCCCTCCCAAGACAGCCCAGGCCCTCCCAGTACTCCGTGCCTCTCAGTGACACCAAACTCAGCTGCCAGGAGTACCTTTCCCCGGCTCCACTGAGAGTCGTAATTCTGGGTGGATCAGCTGGGCTCATTGCTGAGAGCAGGTCAGTAGTGGGCACAGCAGGTGTAAAGGAACAGAGGCAGGGGCCGGCGCCATGGCTCACTTGGCTAATCCTCCGCCTGCAGCACTGGCATCCCATATGGGCACCGGTTCTAGTCCCGGTTGCTCCTCTTCCACTCCAGGTCTCTGCTGTGGCCCGGGAGTGCAGTGGAGGATGGCCCAAGTGCTTGGGCCCTGCACCCCATGGGAGACCAGGAGGAAGCACCTGGCTCCTGGCTTTGGATTGGCACAGCCGCAGCGGCCATTGGGGGGTGAACCAACGGAAGGAAGACCTTTCTGTCTGTCTGTCTCTCTCACTGTCTGTAACTCTACCTGTGAAATAAAAAAAAAAAAAAAAAAAAAAAAAAAAAAGGAACAGAGGCAGGCAAGCAAACTGGCAAAGCAGGTTAGGACCTAGAATCCGGTTTATGTCTTTGGGGAAAAGGTGCACAGGTTCAGAAATTTTCAAACCCTTTGGGTGATGAGGAGATGATCTGCTATAACCCAGGTCTCAAGGCCAAGGTCAAAACCATGACTTTGGTGCACTAAAGAGGGTTTTCCCACAGTTCTGAAGATCATCAATAAAATGTCAGCGGACATATATTCTGTCTGTCGGTCTTGATGGCACAGGAGGGGAAAACACGCAAAGGCATCCCAAGGCGGGACAGCCACCCGTGGCGTTGCCACGTGTCCATGTTTGGCTCTGGCAATCTCTCTCTTGTGCTCGGTGCCTGACTTCTATTCCCGGGGAAAAAGGAGAGTGAAATGCTGTGATGACTAATGGGAGACAATGGGAAGATTTATTGGACAATTATCAATGTTTCTCCTCACTCAACTTCCCTTTCGCGAGGCATTATTTCATTTGCGGACGAAGCAGCGCCCGGTCCCTCAGGTCCTGTCACTCCGCTGCGCCCGTGTGCGAGTGTGTCGCCCTGATCTGTACAAGGAGACAGACGTGCACCGGAAGACTTTCTCGCTAACCAGATCGGAGTTTTATTCGCCTGTCATTTTTATTCACATGCTGAAGAGCCCTGATAGAGTTCTGTGGTTTTCAATCGACGACTGTTTGCAGGCCTCCTTCAAGTTCTCGCCATATGCAAGGCCTACTTTATTGTTATTCTCTTCATACTTTTTAGAATTGACTAGTTTTTATTAAGTTAGTCTCACCCCGAGGCCACCAATCCATGCAGTCATGCGTTTAATGGGCTGATGTATGTATATGTGTAGTTCTCAATGACATAAATGCCTAAAAATTATGGTTTTTAAAAACATGCCCATCAAACCCATAATTTCATGGATTATGACTTGGGATAACACTATTTAAAAGTGGGTTTTTTTTTTCCAGCTTAAAATCATCCTACAAGTATATGTATTACACAGAAGATACCTCAAAAAAGTTCATGGAAAAGTGACAAGTTTGTTTCAATGTAAAAAAAATTCGAAATCCACGCAGTTTTTCAGTTTTTTTAAAATAACACATACTTTCCACAGGCTTTTTGAGGATCCCTTGTGTGCACAGATTTCAAAATTTGGATTACCACCTGGCTGTTGTGACCACCTGGCTGTTGTGACCATCTGGGGAGTGAACCAGCAGATGGAAGAGTTCTCTGTGTGTGTGTGTGTGTGTGTGTCTACCTTTCTCCCTATAACTCTTTCAAATTAATAAATAAATCTTGAAAAAAAAAAGACCTCTTCTAAAAAATTCAACATGTAAAAATAAACTAAGAATTAATTACATTTCCATGTATTAAAAAAAAAAATCCTTAAAGATCACACCTTGGGAAACACGATCTAATCCAAGATCTGGTCTTATTCGAACAGGAAGCCACCTTGGAATTACAGTGTGATGGTGACCTGTGGCCCAGGAAGAATTCTATGCCCATCTGAATCCTGGGCTCATCTTGGTCCCCAGAGAGCCTGCTGCTGTTGACCTGTAGCTGTGACTATCAAACCTCACTCCGAATCTTATAGACAGCTTTGACTCATTGCTTTCTCTAAGATTCCACAGCCAAACCATCAGCACAACCTGTTGGCTCATACTTCAAAATATATCCCAAAGCCTGCTATTTCTCTCCACTCCCACCCTGCTGTAAGCCACCGCTGTGTCTCTGAGCTGACAGCAGCGACCTCTGCACTGGTTTGCCCATTTCCGTTGGATTGAGAATACAAGAAGAAAAAAATGCCATCTTGAGTCAATTATTGTGTCCTAGATGCAAACAAATGATCAGAGAAATAAGAAGAAAGGCAATTGCAACATTTAAAGTACTTGGGGGTGGGGTGGGCATTTAGTGCAGTGCTTAAGCACTGCTTGGGATGAGAGCCTCATCCCACATCCTGGCTCTGCTCCCAATTCCAGCTTCCTGCTAATACATCCTGGGGGGCAGCAGGTTTTGGCTCAAGTAATCAGGTCCCTGCCACCCCCATCGGAGACCCCAGTGGGATTCCAAGACCCTGACTTTGGCTCAGTCCAGCTGATGTGGGCATTTGTGGAATGACCTGGTGGATGGATGGGATGGAAGATCTTTCTCTCTCTGTCTGCCTTCCAAATAAAATTAAATAGATAAACATTTAGACAATTAAATATTAAAAAAAAACACTTGGAATACAAATGAGAGAATAAAAAGACCGGAATGATTAGTAGCTTCATATCAACATCTCAGGTCAAAATCCGATAGCCCCTTTTAAAATTCCCTGGAACGTATTTCTGTCATAATTTATCATCCCTCTAGGACACAGCATACAGGGTGATTTTAAATTGATATGATATAAGAATAAATACCAAATCAGTCAAAGAAGTCAGCAAATGTCCAGAATTACAGAAAACCATAGAAATGGGCTCTAATTGCATCATTATCTAATCTCCTTACTTTTGAATACCATTGCTAAGAATGGACTCACTCCTCTCCTGTCATTTTCTTTTCGTGTGAACTTTTCCATTTTCTCGCAAGAACAAGACATCCATATTTTAGGGTTTGCTGCATTTTGTCAGGCAAAGCAGTAAAAAGACTCATCAGCAATGCGATGGAAAGCAAACTCAGAAACAACTGTGGTCAGCAAAGGCCAGGTTGCAGAAGGCCCGGGGCACTTTTCTTAAAGTTCTTTCTTCAGTGGGACAAAGGTAAGAAAGCGGCTTGGCTCCACCCCACTCTGCAGGCTCCACAGCTTGGTGTCAGGCCGTGGTGTCCCAGAGCTGAACTCTAAAAGGGAGCTGTGACGGCCCCAGAGGAAACACAGCCTTCCCTCCCCCAAAGAGGAGGGCCCTTCAAAACATTCATGGGAGATGCATATCATTAACAAACTGTATGGACTTCAAACAGTTTTGCACTGAAGCCAACTTGTCTTTTAACCCTGCTTCCTATGAACTTGAAATACTCTCGTATTGAACCCAGAACCGTGGAAGGGGACGTTACCGGCAACAGGGTCTTTCGTATGCGTGTAGTAAGATGAGGTTGCACTGGATGAGAGAGGGCCCTGCAACAAGGAGGCTGTCCTTGGAAGAAGAGCAAAGGGCACAGAGGCACAGAGAGGAAGGAGGCAGAGAGACAGTGATGCGGCCACAAGCCAAGGGACACTCAGGATTCTTGGGAACCACCAGAAAGTCAGAGAGAAGCTGGAAGAGTGAGGTGGGAAGTGAGAAATTAGCCCATGTGTGTGTGAGAGGGCCCAGCATCTGCGCGTCAGAGTCCTGCCCAGACCCCATAACCTTGCAGGTGGTCCCAGCCCTGCCCCCGTGGGAAAGCTCTCTCCTCAGCACCAAATGCGTCACCCGCCTGGTGAAATCCTTCCTCCAAGGCAGACACCCTGGGGGGAAGCCCCTTGGCCCATGGCCAGCAACACTCCCCCTGTCTGATACCAAACTTGGGCAGGGATTTTCTTATTGCCCTTTGTCCTAGAGGAGGAGGAGGGGAAGGA